GTGCCTATATTTACAAGAATGTGAAGATTTTTCAAGTCTTGCATTTTTTGAAGTTGCTCTGCATACTTGACTATAGAAGAAAAGGTCAGCCACTAAGCTTGGACTAATTGCTATTGTGTTAACATTGCACGCACTTTTGTTGAAGTACCATAAAGCTGATATCTATGCACCATTTAGGTAAGAGGCATATTAAGTAGTGGCATTGTGACGGTAACTTAGTATTGCTGATTTTGCTTTTAAATAAATATTCAATTAATCTTCTTTCATCATTTGCCATAACTGTTTCCCATGTTTATATATTTGTTGCTCAGCTTTGTTACATTTCTGCAGGGAACCTCGAGGTTTTGCATTTGTGCAGTTTGTAGATCCTTTTGATGCCACAGAGGCTCAGTATCACATGAACGGTCAACTTTTTTGTGGGAGAGAGTTAACTGTGGTGGTTGCTGCAGAGACCAGAAAAAGGCCTGAGGAAATGCGAAGACGAGTGAGGGTAAGGTACTAAAAGTATCCATGCTTCTCTGTAAGATTTAATACCACATGTTTCTTTGTATATTTTATTTGTTCTGTTAAACTAGTTTTCCTTATTATTATTTTTTTAATTTCATTTTGTTCATTGAACTTTGAACAGAGGGCCTTCGGGTCATCAAGGTCGACGATCATCTTATTATGGTAAGATTGACTTCTTATAGGTGGCTACTTTGCATTACTTTCATGAGAAATTGTATGAGAAGCTCATGTTTCCCAAATTAAAAAATTGCCTTCGAAGCTTTCTTTCTTTTTCAGTAAATCATTCTTGAAGCCTTTTCTTGCTTATATTTATTTGTTTGGAAGTTTGGCATAAACAAGAACAAACAATTCCAACCATTTCTCTTAAAATCCCCTTAAGAGGTTTCATCCACCAGATATAGCTTTTATTATTTATGTTCTTTCTACTATTACATTTCTTCAACATCAGTTCAGTGATAATGAGTGGGTATTATCAGCATTTTAGATGTCAGTATTTTATTATTTGTAAGTCATCATCATCCAAACCTTGTCCCAACTATACGAGGCCAGCTACATGAATCCTGTTATGCCAGTCTGTTCTGTTTAATGCCATATCCATTGTTAAATTATTGATGCTTAAATCATTTCTTACTATTTTTTGATAATTAAATAATTTCTTACTCTTTCTACCCATGTCCTTTTTGATCTATCCCTTTCTCTTCTAGCTTCTTCTACTTGTAACAAATCATAGGGATGCTCTTGATGATCTTTGCAAATAACTAAACCATCTTAGTCTACTTTCTCTTTTTTTTCCACCTAAAAAAATTGGAGCTACTCCTAAGTTCCTACAAATGACTACATTTCTAATGCTATCCTTTCTAGTTTATCCACTCATCCATCTCAGCATACACATTTCTGTCATATGGATGCTTAAATCATTTATTACTATTTTTTGATAATTAAATAATTTCTTACTCTTTCTACCCATGTCCTTTTTTGATCCATCCCTTGCTCTTCTAGCCTCTTCTACTTGTAACAAATCATACGGATGATCTTGATGATCTTTGCAAATGACTAAACCATCTTAGTCTACTTTCTCTCTTTTTTTTTTCACCTAAAAAAATTGGAGCTACTCCTAAGTTCCTACAAATGACTACATTTCTAATCCCATCCTTTCTAGTTTTTCCACTCATCCATCTCAGCATACACATTTCTGTCACACTCATTTTCTTAACATGTTTCTTGACTGCCCAACACTCTATTCCATACAACATAGCTGGCCTTAGTTTTATAGAATTTACTTCCAATCTAAGTGGTATTCGCCTATGACATAAACTCCAAATGCACCCCTCTATTTTGCCCATCTTGCTCTAATTCTATGGGCGACATCCTCCTCATTCTCTTCCTTGGTTCATGTTGCCCATAGAATTAGAGTAGGATGGGCAAAATGGAGGGGTGCATCTGGAGTTATTATTTATAATACTACATTTCTTAATTTTGCTTTTGCCTTTTTTGAGGGTGGTATGCATCATACATGAATATGCATTTGATTGGTGGTGTGCATCATATTATATTAATCAAATATGATTTACATACATGAATATGCATTTCTGCTCGGTATCCGGACAAGTTGGAACTTGGTATGCAAAAGGTCAATAGTCTCTTCAGTTTCCCTGTGATAAGCTGCTTTGATGTTTGCAGCCTGACTGCCTTCCCCCCAAAAGCACCTACCTTAAGAAATTAAACAGCCATTTTGGTAGAAGCCATTCAGCCTTTCCTTGATCTGTGCCCACCCCTAGAACCATTCTTTTGAGCAAGAGAAGAGTATTGAATTGCAGTATAAAGCTAAAAGGAATTTCCAATACTATAAACTCAGAAGTCTACAAAGCCAAAAAAAAAAAAAGAAAGAAATGAGGACCTTTTGGTGGCTAATTTCAAAGAATGGCTCCTAGTGGCAGTGCCTTTAGCGGCAGACCTTGATCTAGTCACTAAGCATTAGGTGGAGAGGGGGTTCTGCGTAGTTCTATGTGTTGGCTTTTATACAAAAGTTTTGTAAGATGGCAGGCATGGCTTTTGATATTTAAATTACCAGTTCACCAACCAATGTTTCCAGAATCTCTGTTCATTTCTTTCACATTGAAGACAACAAACTGTACCATATAAATAAGTCTTCCAATGGTATCAATAGGAATACATCCATATTCAAGTTAACTTAGGCAATTGAATGTGTGGTGCAAGAGTGGCATTTTCACATTCCGATACTTGGGGCACAAACATTGTTTTATTCATTGGGTGTTCTTTTCCCCTATTGACCATTTGACAATGAGTTTGAGAATTGTTTCAAATGCACATACATCTTGTCAGCATGGAGAGATATTATCTATTTGGAGGTTATTTCCAATTATTCTCATGGCATGCTAATGCCAACTTATTTGAATTCTACATCCAATGTGTGTTTCAGGACGTTCACGGTCCCGTTCAGTATCGCGTTCACGCTCTCCACATTATCCTTCTGCTTCAAGAAGCCGATACCGCTCAAGGTAAGCTGCCATTATCTCACCTCTCAGTTATATCATGGGATTCAGTTGAAATATAGTGAGTGCATTTTAATTTTAATCTTGTCAGATCCTACTCTCCTGCCCCAAGGAGAGGTGACTACTCAGTTTCTCCAAGGAGGCATGGAGAAAACCCAGGATCACCAAGGAATCCTCCCCCAGAACGAGATGATGATCATACACGTAGACATTCATACTCTCCGCGCTATGATGAAGCTGATGGGAATCAGGGTGGCAAGGGTTATGACAAGTAAGTAAAAATATTCTATTTGAGGAGAATAAACATAAAGTTTAGGAGAATGTCATAATCTATTCTTGTATACCATGTTAAATATTTAGGACTGCAAATTGATGGAATCAGATACACCTAGATCCAAAATTGATTATTGATTATTTGGATTTGAATTGAATGTTATTTGCTTGGATTTATATTGGATTTTGTCATTTAGATTGAAATTGGGTAGTGAATAGAATTAATAAATTAAACTAAAAATGGTAAAAAATTATATGTTATTAATAGAGTGAATTACAAATGACTTTGATATAGAGGTGATCAGGGGTTGTTCCAGGTTGGGTTTTGCACCTACGATTAAACTATAAATGTATAATATGTATAAAACTTTTGCGCCCGGGCCAAGTTGGGCTTTGGACCTTGAATGTCAACTTGTTCATTTCAGTCAAAAGGTTGATAGCCTAATATTCAATATCCCACATCAATAAGAAAATGGAAGCTTTGCGTTCATCTATTAACAATGATAAACCAAGGAAAAAATATATGAACTCATACACCGAGTAAACTCACAAATGAGGTGTCAATGCAACACTTAATTGTATATAAATTCATGTTTTACTTTATAAAATGTAAAATATTATATATGTTTTATAAGTTATACAAAAAGATTTATATAAAATATAATACGAAATAAAATAAAGCACATATTATATTATATTATATTATATATGTTATATAATATATAATATATATTCCGGGAAGGGCCTAGACACAACATAGGCCCAAGACAAAAAAATTACAGGCTAAGCTGGAAATGTTCACCCATGCTTTGATAAATTGATACCAAAATGTTTTATATCATGAACAAAACGAAATGAAAATAACTTGTACAAAACTTGAACCTATGATTTTTAGTAAAAAAGTAACATCTGTAGCAATTTGACTATTAGATACAATATATGTTTTAAGTATGTATAAGCATATATTTTTAGATCAGGATCCATATTTGACCTAATGATAAATGGATTGGATTATTAAATGTTTATCCATATAGTTGGGACAAGGCTTACTTGATGTTGATGATAAATGGATTTGATTTGGATCACTTTTCAGATAAACAAATACCATTTGCAGCCCTAGATATTGTAGCATCAATAGTGTCAAGTGAATGGCATATGTACATTGGCAATGTATATTGGGGCCAGCCTGTTTAGAGGTGTAAAACGGGTTGAGCCAAGTTGGCAAGACACGGCTCACCTATGGCCCGCACGGACCGTGACGACCGTCTTGTTAGCCCACGGACCGTGACGACCGTCTTGGGCCGTGCTATACCCTCCCTAGGGATAATTTGGGGGGTTGGCCCAACACGATCCACGATCCAAGCCCATGTGGGCCTGTGCCATGCTGTGTTGCAGGCTTGGGTCACAGGTCGAGCCTTGGGTGTGGGCTGAATCGGGCCATATTGAGTTTTTTTGTTTTATTTGACATTTTTTATTTTTTTTTTATTTCTTTGCTAAGTAAAACTAAAAAGTCTAAAATATTTAACTTTCCTTCGTGAACTAGTTGAAAAAATAAGAAATCTAAACAAAGAAATAAAAAAAAATACTTAACCAAATAAGAAGTCGAGGACAAAGACTTAAAGTGAATAACAAATTAGAAGAAAAATAGGAATTTTTTCATTTAAATTTGAATGATACAAAGCATACAATGGTTGGATGAATGAAATATGAAAATTGGAAAATGGAATAAATTAATAAAATATAAAAAATACAATATAATTACAAATTGAAAATAAAAAATTACATCATTAAAAAAATATCAAATAAATTAAATAAAATTAAAACAAAATTTACAATAATTTGAAAAAATGCTATACAACTATTGAACTTCACCATTTTCTTCTATTGTTCTTGACTTTGATTATCTCCTTAAGGTGAAACATCAAGTCTAGTGTCATGCCCTCCTTTGTCTTGTAATGTATCTTCAGCATCTTAGCTAATCTTTAAAGCAGATGCACATCTCTAGACTTTCATTATTCATACAGTTTTTCTTGTCGTCCAATACACTAGTACCTACACTAAAACAAGACTTTGATGGAACTGTAGACACTAGAGGGGTTAATAGATTACGTACCATGGCGGCGAGAATTAGATAAGTTTTTGCATGTTCACTACACCAGGCTAAAATATCAAAATTATTTGTTCCCTCCAAAGTGAAGGAAAAATCACTTGAAGTAGAAAAATTTGCTTGTAAATAAAAATTAAGTTCAGTAAATGAACTTGTTGTCGAGGCACTGGATTTATGCCTCTTACTTATTAAATAAAAAATTTCTCTTCCACTACAGGACTCAAGTTCAGAAGTGGAAAATACAACTATACAAGTTGTAGAATTTTTATTATTCCCTATACTTAAGATTCATATAAACTATACATTTCAAATAATAAATTATTATTTTTTTTACTATTACTTAAGATTCATATAAACTATACATTTCAAATAATAAATTATTATTTTCATTTTAAATATTCATATTTTCACAATATGTTCAAAGTAAAATATTTAAACCATCTTCCCTAATCCTAGGATCTAATATTGTAACTAAACAATAAAGAGGAGAAATGTTCTCCCAATATTTTTTTAAATTTATTTTCTATTATTTCAACAATACTTTTAAATTGTGGATTCATTAGTTGCAAAACAATAAAAATGTTGCATCATAAAAATGTTGCATCTATTATTTCAACAATACTTTTCTATTATTGCAAAACAATCATTAATCATCATTAATTTATAAGCTAAATTATAACTACTTGGATAATAAATACCCGATGATTCATTAGTTGCATCATAAAAATGTTTAAAAAAAAAATCTCTTGTACAAATTGTCATTTCTCAGTCTTCCTAAAATATAATATCAATAGGCATTTTTGCATTATAAAAATCTCTTAAACTAGTTGTTATATAGCAATTGGGGGGCATTTGTGTCATTCTTTCTTTCCGTCAAAACCAAAATACATAAATACCCCCCTATATAACTGTTTATAACTGTTGGGGGGTATTTCTTTAAAAAAACCCCCCAAAATCTGTAACTAACTGTTGGAGACCCTCCCAATGGCTAGTTCATCAGGTGGGCTGTGCCGTGCTGGCATGTCAGCCACGGGTGGCAGTCGTGCCATGCCATGGTGGCCTGTGGACCTAGAACTCCAGGCCCAGCACGACCCGGATCATCGTGGCACGGCCTGCATGTCATCGTGCTGTGCCATGTCAGGCTGGGCCGGCATGATTTACACCTCCATGCCTGTTTGAATTGATCATGAAGCAATTTTGTGTTGCTTTATATCTTTGAGGTTGGGTTTAGCATATTTTATTTATTCTTTTGGTTGTAACGTACAAGTTAGAATATTCCTTATGCAAAGCACCATCGGTCTCGAATGTAGATTCTTTTCTTTTGGTTGGTAATGTTGGTTTCATGATCATGCTATGCAACTACAGAAGGTCTACATATGAAGCTGAGGAAGCACAGACAGGCTGGAGATCATCTCCTGGACGTGCCTCAAGATCACCATCTGGGTCAAGATCTAGGTCAGCTGATTTGTCACCTAGGCACAGCAGATGATTGAAACTTTAAAGGCAAGAATCAAGATACAATGAAGAAACGACTTAAGTTACCAGTTTTCTTTTCTTGTATTTTGTTAGCATCTTTCAATGGTCTCTTATGTTTGTGTGCAGATGCAACTGACTCCTAAATGAAAGGTGATTCCAATCCTTGTGGACTAGATACGGTCTCTAATGTTTTGTGGCTGTTAAGTTTCTGATTCTCTTTCTTCAGATTGTATAAACTATAAAGTTTGGATCTGTTAACATTATCTGCTCTCTAGATTATTATTATTATTTTTTTTGTTAGAGATTCAAACTGAATACACCTGCTTGTGGTATGGGGACCCAATCTATCTTATTTATGGTCAAATTTTGTGAGATCTGGTGCAGCACCTTTTTTTTTTGTAGTTTGCATTTTATTAAAACACCTATTGTATAGTTTACGACCGTTTATTTAATCAACCTTATGGTAAGAACCTTTTGTATTGCTGTTTGGAAATGTCACGTGATCATATAAATAAGGTAATGTTTGGTTTGAAGGAAAAGGTAGGGAAATGAAGGAAAAGACAGGGAAACCAATACACGGGTTGTAAAAGTTTCTTTACCTTTCCTTTCCCTACATTTTCTTTCAAACCAAACATAGCCTAAGTGGAAAATGTTTTAAGGGCATAGACTGATGGATATTTATTTCTAAAGTATCCTAGAACTTAATATCAAGGTTCAAAGTATCGATAGGCGTATCGGCCAGTATCGGTCCTTTTTTTAATTTTTTTTTTTTTAATTTTGGTTTAGAGGGGTCGGTTTAAGTCCCAGCTACCCTCTGAACCAGGCCCTGACCCGATACAACCCCTGTTGGGGTGTATTTTGTCGATTTTTATGTTGGTCCAAACAATATAAAACATAATCTAAATCTCAAAAGCTTGTTTGGCAATTCTTTTCCATTATATTAAATGGCGTGAAACATTAGCAATCGCTAAAAAGATGCAAGAGATGGGGTTTCAAATTCCAATCATTGTTAGCCTACTTAAAACAAAACTCCAATCCATAGTAAAGTTGAATTTAGGCCTGAAAGAACGAGATCATTGAATATTCAAATTGTTAGTATCAGTGACTCTGTTTCCAATGGCAAAGGATCTTCGAAAGAAGCTGCAACCAAATAAAAAGACCTTTTCGCCCATGCTGGAGAGGGACTGGAATTGGCACTGGCAACCTGTGCAGTTGTGCTCGCTGCTACAACTTATGGAACTGGTGTCGGCAACTTGTGCTCAACGGAGCACTGTTTTCAAAACCGGACCGGACCAGAAAAACTGGGAATCAGTCACCTGACTGGTTCCATTTTCCTTCAAAATCACTTTTTCCCCCAAAACCGTTGATTTTGGTCAGCAAATCACTGAACCGGCCGGTTAATCGTTCGAACGGTTTTGATCATTTTCTAATTTTTAAAATTTTTGTCAGAACGGGCCGACCGTTTGGATCGAACGGTCGGACTGTTCGAACCGGTAACCGGACCCCTGACCGGTTCGGTCACCAGTACATCTTTAAAAACCATGCAACGGAGTTTGGCTACAGTTCAAATCAAGTAGGCACAATGTTGTAAGTATATTCAATGAGCACTTGAGATTTTTTTTTTGACTCCTATCCCTTAAAATACCTTCAGCCCACCCTTGAAAAAGATTAAAATCCACTTTTGATGGTTGTCAATATCAAGGTTCAAAATATCGATACCCCGATAGGGGCGTATCTGGCAAATCAATACCTTATTTTATTTTATTTTATTTTATTTTTCAAAACCGGTTCATGGGGGCCGATTTAGAGCTCTTTCACCCCCTGAACCGATCAGACCCCCAATACACCCACTGTAGGGGTGTATTGGAGGGGTCTTGGAACGATACATATCGGCCAATACGTGTCGCGATACTTTGAAGTTTGAACCTTGGTCAATATATTTACCAAGTGCTCATTTAATGCACTTATGTTGTTGTGCCTACTAGATCTGATCTTGTTTGGCTAGTAGTAATTTCTAGCTTCATTCGTGTTGAAATGGCTTCCACCGTTCTCTGCATGCTAGCAAACAGACAACTAAAAGTGGAGAAACAATGAATGAAAAATACAAAATTGTTTGTAATGCTCTGGAGAGATTGATTGATGTTTACCAATACTCTATAGGGAGAAGTACACTTCAGCCCAATGCAGAATTCTGAAATTACACCCCCCCATAGTCTACTAGCAGCCCCTCCTATAAACCACATCATGTCCGTAGATTTAGCATCAATCCATAATCAGGATTCATCCCCCTATATGGTGGGGCTAATAATTCTGAGCTGCGCTGATCAGTCATTCTCCCATATTCCATGTGGCTGTGGCAACCCAAAACGTTTCATTAATGGAGGGTTTACTTGGGCCATCCCACAGGGTTACCTAAATAGTAGTGAAACCACAAATTACAACTTTGGAATTTATTCAAATGGATGTTAGGGTCAAAACTGTCGGTCCATTTCTGAAAGGTGGATTAATTAAATCAATTACAAATTATAGGGGTATTTTAGTAAAATACATATGATAGGTTTTAATGGCTTTTTTACCAGTTTTGTCGGAGTATGTACTAAAGTACAAGTGTACAACACTTTCCGTTTAGGCCTCTTATGTTTTTCATTTTTCATATTTGAAGCGACAGTGAAGATTTCCCAAGCCCAGGGCCAAATTAGTTTGGAGGTAGACAAGATCTCCGGCAAGCAAAAACTCTGCTGACATAGGCATCCAACCACAAATTATAAATATCTCGTGTACATTATGTTATGATGGACAGATGATCCCGATGTGAAACAGGATTCCCATGCTGTCATGGTGTTCACAGAGTTTTTATTTGCAGGGAATCCCGTTATATTAATAGGTTCTGTAACTAATTTAGTTATGTGACTTGCATCCCTTAATTGGATAAAGCTTTAGAGGCTGTGCAAAAACTCTAAGCTGTGACAATATGGAAATCCTGCCATACATTGCGAACATCTCCCCATGAATTTAACAAAAATGCACGAGAGATGTTCCCAATGTGTGAATGGATGCCTCTCTGTGCACAGTTTTTGCTTGTAGGAGATCTGGGCTCCTGTTTTACAAAAAAAACACGTCTCTAGATCTTCTGCAAGTGTACCTGTTTTTGGAGGGGTTTGGACTGATACTGGAAAGACATAATACAGAAAAACTTGCAGCCAATCAACTGATATTATTAAAAAAGGTGACCAATTAGGTGGTATTTATCAAATTCATGGATTGCTTTGATTGGCCAAAGCTCTTCCGGTATCAGAATTTTTTATGGTTTAAAGTATTGACACGCGCATTAGGCGAAATTTAACAAGAGCCAAGCAAAGAGAATAAATCAGCTTTCAAGCTTTTTGTTGTGTTGCTTATACACACCCACGTCGTGAGTGGAATTCTTGGAAAAGGAAGATGCCAACTCAATCCACCAGGTAGGGTATTTTCTTGGTCCAGTCAGGCCTTCACCTCCGAGACCAACTGCTCAATAATTCACGTCAGCCCCATTCTCATCATTTCTTCAAGTTACTTGAGACTCTAGATGTAAATTGCAACCTCCTTCCATGCTTGAGATCATTATGAACAGCAGAAGGGCCATCAGCAAATCCCATTTTCTCTTGATTCTTATTATACACATTAGCAGGGAAAATAAGATACCAGACATGGCTAGCATACCAAGTTTGAAATGATCTGGGATCCTTGTGGCATCAGCCAATAGGGGCAACCAATTGGGTTTCTGAATTACCGGATAATGCAAGCAGAGGATTCCTCTGGAACTCATTTCTGAGCTGTCCACAAGCTGCATTTGCATCAAGCCCACGTGTCTGCCGGATGCTTACAGTTATTTTACGAGACTCTAAGGCAGTTGCAAATGCTAACATCTGTAAAGAACCAGAAACAACGGTCTATCAGTGTAGTTCTTAATTGTTGATGAACCATAGTTGTCAAGGTGTCTAGGGGATTCTGGGCGACACCGGGCACCTAGTCACCTAGGTGATAAGAATTTTATACTATAAAGAACTTTTGGCTACTTCCCTAATTTTATATACCAGCATGCATATTAATTGGTTTTTTTTTTATCAGTAACAGAATTTCATTGGAATTAATTAGGAGGTATTACAATCAAACAGAGGGAGGTAAGCTGTCTTAACTCCCCCACAAGTAAAAACAGAAGTAGAAAGAAGCCCAAAACAATGAAGCCCTATACACCCCTTGCTTAACTAGCCCGTCAGCAAAGGCATTTGCAGTTCTTTTAACCCAGCTGTACTTAACTTCAATATCCTTTGCCAGCCATTTAAATTTTTTCCTCTCGTTGTATTTCCACAAACCAGGCTTGTCTTCCTTTAACCGACTTGCTACTATCTCCGAATCCCCTTCAAGAATCAGTCTCCTAATATCCAGTTCTCTTGCTCTTTGGATCCCTTCTAGGGCTGCTGATATCTCAACCCTGAGAGAATCACCCTCTCCAATTGGACCAGAGAAAAGGGTTACAGTATTTCCTTCCTCATTTCTTAAAACCCCTCCAATTCCTGATTGTCCTGGATTCCCAATGCTGCTGCCATCAAAGTTTTAACTTTATATACCCAGCAGAAGGGGGATCCAAGGACTAGTGACCCTCTTGACCTGGACTGAATTTGCTATTTCTTTCCAATTTCTCAATAAAATATCCACAGAAAAGTTTGAAAACAAATCCATGGACTTCGGCCAGTGCACTACCCTTAAGTGGATCATCTCCACTAAGTTCTCAGCTTCCCCCTTCTTTTCCGAGAAGATTCTGGAGTTTCTTTCTTCCCACAAAGGCCAACATACAGCAGCCCTGATACTCCTCCACATGATCCTACCCCTCTTTGAAGGCCAACTGAAAAAAGAGGGGGAAAATAAACTTTGCACATTCGAAGGGGGGATCCAACTACACCCAAAGATAGACAAAGCCCAAGCCCAAATAGTTGTTGCATAATGACAAGACACTAATAAGTGGTACCCAGTCTCTCCATCAGCTTTGCAAAGAACACACCTGTGCGGGGAAAGACAAGTCTTGGGCCTTTTCTTTGAAGAAGATCACAAGTGTTTATTCTTTCCAGAAAGGTTTCCCAGCAAAAACTCCCAACCCAAGGTGGAATAGGCTTGCACCCAATTTCTTTAACAGGGAAAGGCATCCCAAGGGAAGTAGGATGCTGAGAAAGGGACTGAAAGAATGAAGCACAAGAGAAAGAGACCATGGGGGGGTTCCATATTCTGCAGTCTTCCTTTTGGGGGTTCAGAAACACATTTTCAAAGATTGCCAGGAGGGACATAGTATCTTCTAAGTCGATGTCCCTAACAGCCCTTCTCAAATTCAAATTCCACCCAAAACCAGAGGAAGCATCAGAAGGGACTAGAAAGGAAGAAATAGGCTCATTCTTAAGGTTAGAGAGCATACAATAATGGAAATTTGCTTGACAAAGGAGAATCCCCTACCCAAGTCTGTTCCCAGAATTTAATAAGGTTACCTGAATTCAATTCATACCTGGTCCATTGAGAGAAAACTAGGAGATTATGGATTGCTTTCCAAGGAGAAGTGCTTGTGGCCCTTGCCAAGATTCCCGGATCCTAGCCATTATTCTCTAGCCCATGAATGCTAACCACTATCTTTGCCCACAGTTTATCCATTTCTAATGGAAATCTCCATAACCACTTCCCCAATAATGCCATATTCCTTTTCTTAATATTCCCAATCCCCAGCCCTCATTGCCACTTGCTTCTAGTCACCACTTCCCAACCTACCCTGTGGTCCTTCTTTTCCTCCCCTAGCTCCCATAGGAAGTCCCTCATCAATTTCTCCAGCTTATTAGAAACCTGTGTGGGGATCTTGAAAACTGATAGGAAATAAACAGGTAAATTAGTTAGGATTGACCTAATCAATATTATACATCCCCCCATAGATGATTTTTCTTCCAAAAGGCAAGCCTTTTCTCAAAACTTCAAACTTCGAATCCAGCTTATATTAATTGAAAAATGATCAATTCTCTTTATTGAAAATATTAAATTTCCTCTAAAAAAGTGACAAATAATCATATCTAAAAGATAAAAAAAATCTTTTACATATATGATCTTCATTATTTTCAAAAATAATACTACTATAATAAGCAATGTTTAATAATGCAGAGGCGTGATGTGAGGCGTTCCACTACCTAGAGGCATGAGGCGTAGTTCAAAACGTAAGAGGCGTAAGCCTCCTTAAGAGGAGGGGGGATCTCATTTTTTCTTTATTTTTAATAAAAATCTTTTATATTAAGAAGAATAAAGGTGCATATCACTAGTTGAAAGGGGGGGGGGGTCTTGTCCAAGTGGAGGCAAGCAAAGCGAACCGAGGTGTACGCCTCAGAGGTTTTGGTGCCTCTAGCATATGCCTCAGGGTGTTTTGAGAGCACCTCGCCTAGAGGTACGCCTCCCACGCCTTTTAAAACACTGATAATAAGTATTTAACAGAGCAATTTCATAGCAATTAGTAACTAATGAAGGTTATTAGTTTTATATGATAAAAATTCAAGGTAGAAAGTAAAATAGAAAAAAAAGGATGTAGTTGCAGTTTTATTTAATTGAAAAGAGAGAGACTTATATTACTTCTTTCTTTCTTTCTTTTTCTCTCCTCAAAAACTTTTGATCTTTTAAATTTCAATGATAAAACATTAAAACAAAGTATAAATGATATATGGTATATAATAGAATGTATTTTACAGACATATTAATAAGATGCATCAATATAAGTGATATTATAATAAGACCCCAGCTTTATCATTTTTGTCACCTAGGCGGGCACTAGTTGCCTAGATGGGCACCTAGTCGCCATAACTCAAGGCAATTAGGCGAGATGAGGATACATGGGAATTGGAACCATGTTCTCTCATTCTTTCGCATGCTAAAGAGAAACTTCCATAGAACAAAACTAGAGAACAGGTATGGGACCATGTGCCAAGCAATGGATGCTAATCAGAAACAGGTAGAGAACTAAGGTTTTTTGAAATGGGAAACTTAAAAGAAGAGACAATGGGTTTCTCAATGAAACCTCAGAAATGTAAAAGATACTTGACAATTCTGAATCCCAAAAACAAATTCCTATCCTCCCCTTTCCGCCAAAGACAGAAAAAGGATACCCATTATGTCAGAGGGAGTTGTTTAGTAGTTAATTATGATATACTTGGCATTGAAAAACAAATAGTTAATTATGATATACTTGGAAGTAGAGGGTAACTCAAAGCTGATCATTTCTTGGACCAGAAATAAACAGCTTATGCCATGGACTTTTAGGCATGAGTTTAGGAGAGCATCACAAAAGAGCTAAACATTACTTTCAATTGGGCAAGGACAGCAAATGGGATGGCTGATACTCTAGCAAAACAAGAGGTATATAGGCAGTTTTTTGGAGCATTATCGTAACCTCTGTAACTTTGTTGGGGATTGGAATTGATTCTTATGGGTGGCCAGACCTTTTTCTTGTATTAATCAGTTTCATCATATAATAAATTCTAAATTTCTTGCTGATAAAAACAAAACAAAACAAAACAAAACAAAAAAATAGGGGGCAAATGATCCTTAGGAATATAACCAAAGTCTACAAATAATTGAAATATAATAATGAGAATAGATAATCCATACCTAGGCATGTTACAAGCAGCGTTGCATGGACAAGGGCATGGGAATTGGAATCCGTGTGTCTAAAAGTCCGACTCAGCAAGATGAGAACTTGGACTCGTGGATGCATTTATGGAAAAGAACATACTATTAAAATAATTCACATTTTTTGAATTCTAACATAATATACCTTTACAAAATGTTGCCTTTATTGTTGTTTGTTTGTAGCCATGTGTTGTACTTGCACTCTTACCTGATACAAAATTTGTACTTTTTTGTCTAGTTTGCACTCACTTGCAGTGTAAATTTTACATCACATAAACTGATGCAAAATTTGCACCACCTTCCTCCCTCCTCAATTATTTCTCATATAAAGTGGGGACCACATCATAGCGTTTCCTACCTCCCTCCCAAACAAATAGCTCTCCTCCTACCCTCACTCCATACTAGGGGTGCAAATGGATCGAATCATGATCCGATCCAATCCGAGATTTGATCCTATTTGGTCGAATTCGGATCACCCCCTAACTGATCTGCTATATATTTATTTATATAAATATGACTAGGACACTGGGACTTTGGCAAGGTTTGTTGGTGCCTCTCCTTAGAAATCTATACATGCCATTCTTCCTTCCTTTTTGCAGCACATCAGGTATGACCTCTGAATCAGGTAAAGTTTTGGGAGCACATTTGGGTGCATGAGATAACTTTGAAAGACCAATTCCCTTCCTTGTTTTCACTCTCCCGGTTTAAGGACAAGGTTGTGTCCAATTTTCTAGTTCCTTCTCGGTCTATTTTTGGGTTTGATTGGGATCTGGGGCTTAGAAGAGGCTTAAGGGATGTAGAGGTTGAAAATGTCACGAGTCTATTTCAAATCTTAGACCAGGTGGTGTTGGATCCTTTTGAGAGGGATAAGAGACAATGGACCCTTACTCCCTCTGAAACCTTCTCTTATGCCTCTTTTTTCAAGTCCCTACTGCCTTCATCCAGTCCATTTGCACAAAACTTTCTAGTTAAGGATGTTTGGGGTGAGCCGATTCCTCCGAGGATTGGAACCTTTTATTGAGAATCCTTCCTCGGAAGATGTAATACTTGTCACATACTCCAAAGAAAAGGCCTTTTTGGTGCTTGTCTCCGAATTGGTGCATTCTTTGCAAGGCTAATGGTGAAAGCTCCTACCACTTATTAGTTCCTTGCCCCTTTGCTACTGATCTTTGGGAATGGTTTTTTTCCTCTTTTGGTTGCAGGTGGACCCCACCGCCAAACATTCAAAGTTTGTTTAGCCCCTCATTCTTTGGTTGGCCAAACAAAAGGGGAAGGATAATATGGAGATGTATAAGGGCTGTTGTTTGCTGGACTCTTTGGGAGGAAAGGAACACCAGAATTTTCTCTGAAGTTGAAAGAAGTAAAGAATGCCTTATTGAAGTAGTAACAGTGAGGGTGGTACATTGGCTGAAATCCTTGGACCTGCTTGTTGATATTTCTACGGATATGTTGCTGAATAGCTGGCTGGAGGTGGCAAATTCTACTCCTACCCGCTCTTTAGTTTGTCCGTGTGGTCACCACCAAGAAGTGGACTTCTAAAGCTAAATTTTTAAGGAAGTAGTGAGGGAAATCCAGGTTCATCAGGTGTAGGAGGGGTTTTAGAGATGAGGATGGGAAGGTGCTCACTTTGTATTCAGGTCCCATTGGGTTTGGAGACTCTCAAAGCTGAGGTCTATGCAATACTGGAGGGTATAAGGAAGTCTAAGGAACTGAATATACAAAAGTTAGTCATTGTCTCATTGAAGGGGACTCAAAGCTGGTCTTTAGTTGGTTACAAGAAGGTAGTGAATTTTGGAAATATGCTAATGAGAGGAGGAACATTAATTGGCTAACTAGAGGATTGGAAATCAAGTTTCAGTGGATCAAGAGAACAGCAAATGCATTTGCTGATGCTTTGGCAAAGCAGGGGGTGGGAAGGGATCAAATGTTTTTGGCTGTTCTGTAACTTTTTCTTCTTTGTATCTTCCTGGAGAGAGTTAAGCCTGTTTATCTCTCTTTGGAGTGCTGTAACTAAATTCTTTTAATCTAATGAATTTCAGTTATTGATAAAAAAAATAATACATATATATGTTATTTATCTATTTACAAATATATTATTTATATTGTATTTTTTAAATTTGTTATATTATTTATTTTTTTATAAAAATCATGTATATATATGATGAAAATAATTAAAAAATACTTGTATTTTTGTTTTTCTTTCATTAACTTGGTATATTTTATTTTTTTCTTTTAATAATTTAATATTTTTTAAAGAAAACAAATGGGATTGGATCATATCCGAATATCTGACTTCCCAATTGGATTCAAATTCAGATTCATATTTATCAGATCCAATCGGATCTTCAGGTCGGGTCTGATCTACAATTAACAGCATCGGATCGGATTCAGATATACCCTGATTCGAATCTGATCTGATCCATTTGCATCCCTACTCCATATACAGTGTGAACCACTACATTTTACTTCTCACAGTCACAAACAAATAAGATAAAGTCAAATCTGAAGCAAAAGAAAACCAGAATTTACATTCAACCTATTTGTAATCCCACACATTTAGACCAGTGCAATTGAAATTTGCACTGCAAACAAAGTGACCTTTGAATAAAAAAATGGATTCATCTTCTAGATTAGAAGTTCATTTATGTCAAACAAGATAGGGGATAAAAAAGTAAAAAATGCTATGTAAAAATGCCTTCAAGAATCCATGCAGTGTCTGACTTGGCTGTGTGTCCCAACACTGGTTACAGGTCAAGTTGACACGAAAAATGTAAAATCTTTAGGACTTCAAAAATGATAAAATTTTTTAAGTTTGACTAAGACTAGGATTACCATTATAGGAACAACTATCATCAAGGAAATGTTCATAGAATTCTGTCATAAAGAAAATAAATTAAAGCACCTCAGAATACAAAAACACCTAATAGTAATAACAACCAATGCTGACAACAACAACAAAAAGCAATGATGATGACAATAATTGTATTAAAGGACATACCTGCATGTTACCCTCCCATAAAAAAAAAAAACAAAACAAAAAAGTTAAAGAAAAAAAGGAAAGAAAACCATAAAGTAGGTCAATTGGAGAGGTCTGAGTTAATTTGGTCCATCCATAATGGCTGCTTCCTTTTATTTGGTTGACTGTAAGAATACTTACTCCAGTTATCTTCACAAATATTGCCGTGCAGCAATATTTAATTACACAATCAATCTTGCATTAAGCAACACGAGACATGGAATAGGTTCTGCACTGTCATTTGGTGTTACCTTGGTACATGCATGGTTAAACAAGTTTTCAGGTGTGGACTTCTCATATAATGTGTACTTTTTCATGATATCTTGTTTATGAATTCCAAGTGCCCAGCTTTTTTGCTGATTTAACTTGGCACATCAGTGGAATGCTACAATCATTGTGCCAAGGCACAATGTCCAAGCATCAGAAATGCTAGATCATTTAGTTTCAAATTGTCCTAGTAACACTGCTGGCATCTTACATCATACTGCTCATTATTAAAGAGATCAAGATCAATCTAAAAGATCTACTAGGCTAACAACAACAACAAAAAAAAAATAGGATCAGGGGCCACAAGATTTGGGAGCAACAAAATGCAAGAACACAAATTTTCATGGTAAAGAGAATGAATATACCGCTTTCTTGTATGGACGCCGGTACTCTGAGCCTTCTATTGGATTGAATGGTATCAGGTTCACATGATAACCACGTCCCCATGCATGGAGTAGTTCTGCTAGTTCAACAGCATTCTCTACCCCATCATTAACTCCAGCTGCCAATGATAACATTAGTAAATGTATGTTTATTAAATCATATTGATGTTGATGACCTCATATAAAAAAAGAAGATAACCTTTCCCAGTCAGAGATTTAATGTACCTAAAAGTGTATATTCAAATGATACTCTGCGACCAGTTTCTAGGAAGTAATCCTTGCAGTCCTTCATAAGTGCATGCAATGGATAGGATTTTGCACTTGGCACAATTGTTTCCCGAAGTTTCTGGTTTGGAGCATGCAAGCTAGTTTCCAAAATAAATAAACAATAAAGCTTATGAAGTAAGAAATGTGAATAAGATATTAGCTAGTGAAAAGAAAATAATGCAAAAACATTGCCTTTGGGTTTACTATCTCTGCTTAGTGCATGACCAGTGGTTTCCAGCATGTGTGTAAGACATGGATATGCCACAATATTGGTTGAAATATTCTTACCGGAAACATCATACCTGACAGCTAATGTAGACTGTAGTTTATGTGATGCCAATTTTTTAATTGTGTTTGGAACCCCCACAGTTGAAATTGTAATCATTCTTTGCCCAATTTGCACATCCTTCAATCAAAAGGAAAAAATGCTAATAGAGATTAATCCAGAATCCAAATACACATAACCACACTTGCCACAAGAGCCTAAAATAAAGAAAGAAAATCAAGTAACCATGTTTCAGATAAGCTGTATCCAAAATAGGTTCAACAGATTCCACATTGGATGTTCAGAATTATTTAGCAGAAAGAAGACTAGTTTCAAGGCTGCTGTCAAGAAATTCTAAGCAGTGCATTCTCTCAGTAGTCTACTACTTTTTCCTCTGTAATGTGGCCCAACTTTCTAATCAACCTGTAACCCAATTCTTGGGTTCTAGATGGTGGATTTTGGAAAAAGCATCAGAATCTCAATAATCTAGATTTAAAGAATTCTAGGATCTAGAAGTCTAAAATCCAACCAGACTTTTTTTGCTTGGTAGTTTTCAATGGTTGTATGCATTCCAACCAAACTTTGGGATGTTATCAAATGGCCCCTTAACCATGTTGTTGGCACTAGAGTTAACTTTCTAGGCACTCACAGAAATCAATTATTTCTCCCAGATACCAACGCAAGCTTTACTTGCATTTTGAGTCAATACTACATGGATTAACTGAAGTTCATCACAACCAACCAACCACAACCAAGGAGACACCTTTCACCACTAGGTTCTCAGAGCCAATAACATTCATAAACCAAGTCCCTGACTAAGATGGATCTTCACTATAATAGTATTTCCAACACCTATAGGCCCTAAGAAACAAGAATAAAAACTGTTAAAGTTGTTAAATGATACTTATGTCCCAATAAATAGCCATCAAAGTTGAGCGAGACAGCATTGAAGGTGGGTTGAGGGGGTACAATGAACTTCCACAAGAAAAGGAGAATTAAGGAGAATTTTATTGGACACCTGGGCAAAACATAGAGAGCAGATTAAATTGATAAGTTTCAAAGCATGCATATTCTTTGATGCACATTATAGGTGCTTACCTTTAACAGAGAAAGGATTAGCTGAACGGCTTAGCTGTTCAGCAGGCTGTGGGACCAATAATAACACTCCACATCAATCATAAAAATGCATGGGGCCCACAATCATTCAATCTCTTAGTGTGGGTCCAATGTATTTTATCACTGGTGTGGAGGGCTATCATTAGTTTCACAGCCTGCCTCACAGATAAAGTTTTCGGCTAATCTGAATTCTCCCTTTAACACTACTAGCAATTATCAAGCCAATCCAAGGCCCTACAGCATAAAACACCCTCCGCAAACGCATATAGAAAGATACAAATAATCTTTACATGCTGATGTAAATGTGGGAAAAGGAAAAGAGACCATGGAAGAAGAAATCAAGTTAACTGATGTAGGATATATAAGGGGGTCCTACAAATTTCTGATCTGTTGACAGGCCCAGTAGGGTGAAGGAAGATAATTTGAGTGATTAATGATGAAGAATGGAGACAGAGAAACAAGTGGAAAGCTGGCTATCCAGCAAAGAATGAATAGCAGATTAAGAAGAAAGAGATTAACTCTTGCTTCTGCTGCTGCTGCTTTTAGAGTAGACAGCAAGAGATGGTTCAATCATAAAATGAAATAAGCAAGAGAGATTTTTTTTTTTTTTGATAAGAAGTAAAGTATCAATTCATTCAAGAGAAAAGTACAACCAGAGGCTGTACAAAGGAGATACGAGAATAGATTCAAACCACAAAACCATTGACAGATACAAACAGACTTTCAAAATTAAACAGAGAGCTACAAAAAGAACTGTCAACTTTAAACTTAGTCGATGACCAAGAACAGAGCTTCCCCACGATCTTCTTCCACACTTCCATCTTCTTTACAGCTTTTGTTTTGAAATATCCTTGAATTTCTTTCTTGCCAGATCACCCATAGGACTGCACCTGGAATCAGATGCCATAAACATTTCCCTTTCTTTCTTAGGCCTTGTAAATTCCAGTTGTTGACAAAAGTAGCCAAAGATTTTGGGCAGCAACTTCTGATTGCAAAAATTCTGAGAATCCTCACCCAGATTTTGTGAGTGAAGCCACAGTGAAGTAATGGGTGATCACCAGACTCCTCATCATTGTTGCACAAGACACACCTTTTAGAGTCAATCACCACAAAATAAGCAGTCCAGAAGAAAAAAGATATCTTCGATGGGCTGTGTTTGCACCAGATTAGATGTGCAGGGAAAAACGTATCTTCTTCCTCCTGGACCAGTTTGGTATAGAAAGATTTCACCGAGAATTGACCTTTGCTCTCTGCTAACCAGACCCTTTTGTCTGTTGCATTTACATCAATTTGGTTGTTGTACAACCTTTGAAGCTGTTAGACAGTGTATGCCCTTAGCTCCAATCAGAATGATGTACCTTATGACATTTAATGTAAATGAATAAAGTACATATTTGATTCATGTTATTGTGGTATGTTTCTGTGTAATACCCTTAAACTGGACACATATGAGACTCGTGTTAG